GGACCGGTGGGGGGTGGGGGTGGCTGACTGCCAGATGGCTAGACGGAAGGGTGTCGTGAGTATGAGAAAGGTCCCTGGCCCCCAGCGTATTTCACTTCTGCCTAGGACACAAATTCATAAATGCACGTAACCGCGGGTCTCCTCTAAGGCACAGCTCCTCAACTTTACGGGTGAAGAAGCCAGGCAGAGGGAGGCTGATGACCTGGGCAAGGCCTCAGAGGCCACGCTAGGGCACAGTTAAAGCCGAGTCCCCACCGCAGCGAGCCGGCTGGACGGGAGGGGCGATGTCCTGGCCACCCCGAAAGTCACCTTGGAAAGAACCAGGCTCACTCTGAGGAGACGTGGAGCCCCTCAGAGGCTTATCAAGCCCGCAGGGGCTGGCAAGAGGGTGGAGCTGAGAGGTCGGTGTCTCCCGAAGCAGTCCTGGGTTCGGAGCCTCCCTGTGCTGGGGGCAAGCGGGCGGCAGGCGGGCGGGCAGGTGGTGACTGAGGGGAAGGCCTCAAGTGGAGAGAAGGAAGGCCCACGGCGCTCCGCAAGCCAGCAGAGGCCTCGTCAAGCTGCTCAGTTCGCCGCCGCCAAACTCGGGGCTGCGGGCAGGTGCGGCGGGTCGCAGAAGCTGGGAATCCCGACCAGGGCGGCAATCCCAAGGCTCTCCCCCCAGCCCCGCCCTGCGCGGGCAGCAGCACCACGCGGCGCCTCCCCAGAGCCCTCGGCGCTCGCACCAGGAGCCCGGGCAGGCGCACAAAGTCCGGGGACGAGCACCAAGTCTGTCCGCGTGGTCCGAGCTCTGGCTCGGCCTGTGCGGCCACCAGTGGTCTCCCCTTGCTCCGTGGCTGGACTCGCCCTTGTGAAAGGCTCCACTGAGCCTGAGGCGTGCGGCGCTCGGTCGTGAGGACCGGTCCAGGAGTGACAGGCTGGGGCGCCGTGCGGGGCGGCACAGGTGTGCATCCCCGCCTTGACATGGCCGCACCGCAGCTCTGGCCAGCGCCCTGCCAGCGTCACGACAGGCCAGCTTAGAGCCCGAGGGACAGGGAGCGTGTGCCGGCCTGGGGCCAGCTCTCCCGGCCGGTGCCGAGGCGCTCCCAGGCCAAGGGCGGCCGCACAGCACTGCGGGCAGGGTCAGAGCCACTGGGTCTCACCTCCGGGAGCTACGAGGCACGAGAACTATGGCTCAGTTAGCCGGCGGGTGGGGAAAAAGAACAAGTCACACAGCCGTCCACCAGGACTGGCCAAGGGCAACGAGAACACAGGCCCTCAGGTGAGCTCAGAGCCTGGGTGCGCGCAGGGCCCAGTGACATGCGGCAAGCGGCGACAGGCAGGCGGGAAGGGCCGCGCTCTCCACCCAGCGATCCGGGCCGGGCAGCGTGTGAGGCAGGCCGGCCGGGAGGGCCCACGGCAGACAGCCACAGGCCACGGGACACTGCTAGGCCGACAAAAACCTAACTGTGTAAAACAAAAATGAGCGACGGCAGTGTGATTTCAGCAGCATCCTCTCTCGCGCAGCCAGCTCCGGGAATTTCTCAGCTTCCCCAACTGAGACCCCGCACCCACGGATCGAAGGCCGCCAGCCCCGCCTCCAGCCCTGGGCACCCCCATTCACTTCCTGTCCCTATGGAGTGCTCCTCTACAGGACTCTGAGGTACCACAGTTCCACTTTGGTGAGAGCTGGAGCTCACAGCCATTCTTCCTTGGAGCTGAGAAAGATTCTTTCTTGGTTTTTTTTTTAGGATTTATTTATTTTTGTACATACAGAACTGGGGTACAGTTTAGAGGTGCAGGGGCGGTGAGAGGCTTCACCAGAGACAGAGCAGGGAGCAGAACAGGCCGATCAACACAGCACACTGCTGAGAGGAGCAGTGGGGGGGTCAGGAGAGGTCTGCCGCGCCATGTGGTCAGCTCGGGGCGGGGATCGAACTCGGAATGAAGCAGCTGCGGCAGCTCACAGCGTTGCGTTCCAAGCCGCTGCACCGCCAGGGAGGGCCAGTGTCTGTGCCATTATTGTTTAGCTAGTCCTCGAGGTCATGTGGGTCCTTTCTAGCTGTGGGCCACTGGGAATAACGCTGCTAAGACACAGCTTGCCGACCCAGCGTCTGGGGGCAGACAACACCAAGTGCTCGCGAAGACCAGCTGGAGGCGGCTCTCCCGCGTGGCGGCTGTGCGGGGAGAGTGGCTCGCCAGTCGTCCTATCCTGCTCCCCACTGTCTCTGGGGAGTCCTCTCACCACCCGCGTACTTCTGGCCTGTACTCCAGTTCTGTGTGCATAAATAAGTAAATCTTAAAAATATATAGGGGTGTGTGTCTCCCTTCAATTCGTCAGTTCCTCAAAAGCTTCAATACAGCAGTAACATGCACACTGTAAATCTCCCAGTCCCATAGCGGAGAGGTCTGACCTATACGGTCCACCAAAAGCCTGCACACCTGCCCTCCCTGGTGGCGCAACGGGTCAGGGCGCGGCACTGCAAGCGGCCACAGCCACTTCTTCAGTGCGAGTTCAATCCCCGGCCCGGAGGTGACCACAGGGCGCGGCAGACCTCTCCTGACCCGCCCACTGCCCCCTCAGCAGTGTTCTTCGTCAATCTGCCTGTTCGGCTCCCCACTCTGTCTCTGGTGAAGCCTCTCGCCGCCCCTGCACCTGTGGCCTGTACCCCAGTATGCATAAATAAATCTTTAAAAAAAAAAAAACAAAACCCTGCACACTTAATGTTCACTGCTGTATTTTCCAGAACAGCCAAGAAGCCTATCAACAGATGAATGAGCAAATGTGGCTGACCCATGGATGGACTATCACTCAGCCACTGAAAGGAATAAAGTGCTGGTGCCTGCTACCAGAGGGATCAGACTGGATGCCTCGATGCTGAACGAAAGACGCCAGCATAAAAGGTCACTGTAGGACAAATTGTGTCTTAGGAACAGCCCACATTTGCAAATCCTGAGGAACAGGACATCTGTGGCCGCGGGGTGTGGGAGGGAAAATCACAAGAACACGGAGGGCTTTTGGAGGGATGCAACTGTCTGGACTGCGATGGCGGCCCAGAGTGTGAGACACACCACTCCGCTGCCACCCACCTAAGGGTGGACTTCCCTGCCGGTCAGCGTATCTCGGATAAGCTGTTATTTCAGGCAATATTTCTTCATACTACTCTTCCCTCTTAGTACTTTCCGCCACATAAAACTTGAGATAAACAAAGTGAACAAAACTGTCCCAAGGACTGTCAGGATTGCACTGTTCCTGGGTCTGGCCTCTGGCGGAGTGCTGTGGCCCCTGGGGACCCCCAAGGCGGCCCTGTGCCCCCGAGCCTGGGGCAGCTGCTGTTCAAGCCCCAGGCCCCGGCCCACAGGGAGGGGGAGGGACCTGCCACAGCCCCAAGCCTCGGCGCCTTCGGAAGGACCCCGCGCTGCTTTCAACATTCACCCCTTCTCTCCAGAACAAGGGGGATGCCAAGCGCCCCACGACACCCGGAAACGGGCTAAGAGGCGCTGGCTGGGGCCCGGGGGCGGGGCTGCCTGCCAGACAGCCAGATGCACTTTCTTTTCCCACGACTTCCTCGGTAGTCGGGGGTTCAGCCGCGGGGATCCCGGCCCAGGGACGCGGTGGCCGGCACTGCCGGGCGGGACTGGTGGCAGAAGAGACGGAGGAGGGGAAGGGAGAGCGCGAAGCCCGGCGCCACCGGGAGCCCGCGCCCCGCACCCGGGCTGCAGGCGGCCAGGAGACGCCGC